CATGTCCTTATGGTATTTTCACCTTTAGGAGAATGCCTTTTGGGTTATGCAATGCTCCTGTAACATTTCAGTCCTATATGATGGCAATTTTCTTATACATGGTATAAGAAATCTTAGAGGTTTTTATGGATTATTTTTTATTTTTGAAGATAACTTTGAACTATGTCTTACTAACTTGTCTAAGGTACTCTAAAAATGTGAAGAAACCAATGTAGTATTAAACTGGGAGAAATGTCATTTCATAGTTCAAGAAGGGGTTATACTTGGACATAAGGTATTTGTTAAAAGGATAGAAATGGATCGAGCTGAAATAAATGTAATTGAAAAACTCCTTTAGTTGAGTTTAGTCAATGAAACTAGAGGTTTTCTAAGGCATGCTGTTTTTATAGAAGATTTATTCATGACTTCTCCAAAATCTCAAAGCCATTATGCCAACTATTGGAAAAAGATGTCGAGTTCGACTTCACCCTCGGCCATGCTAAAGCATTCCAACTTCTAAAAGATAAGTTGATCATTGCACCTATTCTCTCATGGCCTGATTGGAAACAACCTTTTGAATTAATGTGTGATGCAAGTGATATTATAGTAAAGCCTGTATTAAGGCAATGAAAAGATAAGATCTTCCACCTTATTCACTATGCAAGTAAGATTTTTAATGATACACAACTTAATTATGCTACAATAGAAAAGGAATTATTTGTTATGATCTTTGCACTTAAAAAGTTTAGGCCCTATTTGGTAGGAACCAAAGTGGTTGTATGCACAGATCATGCTATCGTCAAGTATTTGATCATGAAAAAATAAGCAAAACCCAGATTGATCAAATAGGTACTATTATTACAAAAGTTTAATTTAGAGATAAAAAAAAAAAGGGTGTGAAAACCATGTAATAGATCACCTGTCAAGGATACAAAAAAAAGACAAGGATAAGGAAGCCATCTAAGAGTTCTTTCCTAATGAACAACTCTTGGCCATTCAAAGACTACCATGATATGCTAATGATACGCTAATTTAGTAAATTATCTTGTAGGTAATGTTCTCCCACCTAACTTAACTTATCAATAAAAGAAAAAACTTTATATGATGTTAAGTATTACATTTAGAATGACCCTTTCCCATTTAAGCAATGCAAAGATCATGTTTTAAGAAAATGAGATTTTAAGAAAGATGTAGAAAGCATTCTTCAATAATGCCACACCTCAAAATATAGAAGGCACTATGGAGGGAAAAAAATTATAGCTAAGGTATTGCAATGTGGTTTTTATTAGCCTACTATGTTTAAATATGCATACAGATTTGATGTTTAGTGTGATAGATGCCAAAGGGTTGGTAACTTGACTAAGAGACAAGACATGCCCCTTAACAACAACCTAGAAGTTGAAATCTTTGACATTTGGGGAATAGATTTCATGGGGCCATTTATGTCATCTTATGGGAAACTATGCATCTTGCTAGCTGATTTTGTTTTAAAATGGGTTGAAGCAATTGCTTCACATTTTAATGATTCCAAGATAATACGTCACTTTTTGAATAAGATCATTTTTTCAAGATTTTGCATGCCTAGAGCCATTATTAGTGATGAAGGCACTTATTTTTGTAACAAAATCTTTGAAAAATTGCTAGCCAATATAGAGTGACCTATAGGGTTGCCACTACATATCATCCACAAATAAGTTGGCAAGTTGAGGTCTCTAATAGAAAGATAAAGAAAATTCTTAAAAAGATAGTTAATCATTCTAAGAAAGATTAGGTAGCCAAATTGGACGATTCATTATGGGCTTATAAAATGGCAAACAAGACCTTATTGGCAATGTCTCCATGTTAGTCTATGGAAAAGGATGTCATCTATTTGTGGAGTTTGAACATAAAGCTTATTGGGCCATTTGAAATTTGAATTTTGATCAAACTCTATTTGGTGAAAGAAAGATGCTACAAGTAAATGAATTGGATGAATTTAGACTACAAGCTTATGAAAATACCAAGCTGTACAAAGAAAAAAAGAAGTGATGGCAAGATTAAAAGGTAATGGAAAAGAATTTTGAGCCTAGATAGAAAGTGTTGCTCTTTAATTCCAAACTAAAACTATTTCTTAGTAAGATAAAGTTAAGATGGAGTAGATCCTTTATTGTGACCTAAGTTTTTCCTTATGGAGTTGTAAAAATCATTGATGAAGAAGAAAGGCAACCTTTTAAGGTTAATAGGCATCTATTGAAAGTATACCAGGGAGGGACTATAAGACAAATGAAGGAAATGGTATGTTTATCTGAGCCATAGATTTAGGGATGGTCAAGCTTGACCAAAACTAGTGCTACTTGGGAGGCAACCCAAATTTTACATTAATGGTTATCATTTTTTTATTTCTTTATCTTTTATTAGGACAACTGTGTTTCTAATGCTTTTGTTTGAGTTGTTTTATTTTTAGGGATGAAGAAAAGTAGGGAGGATGCCTCATGCAATTAAGATTTGATCTTAAAAAAAATTTTTAGGACTATTTCTTTTTCCCTTATTTTATTCTTGACACATGATTCCATTCAAGTGTGGGAGGGGAAGAAAATTTTTTGACTTAAAGGATTTGGAAATCTTAACCCATCTTTGCTTTCAAACCCAATTAACTTGCTAAATATCATTATGATGTTCATTTAGTTGAAGTTATACATATTCTCTTAAAGTGACTAAAGTATGATCTAGAGTTTAAGTATGGATATAATGGAACTTGAAAAGAATTCTTAAATATGTCTTTTATTTGGATATGATTTTTATACATATATTTCTATTCTCTTTTAATGAAATGCTATGATTTTTGTGAAAGTTTGTCACATGTGGATTTACATGAGATTTGAGGATATGAATAAGTGCTCTATAATTCATCTACTTAACCTTAAGGCAAAATCCTAAATTGTATTTGACTCAAGAGATGATTTAGGCAGTTCTTTAGACAGTTTGAGCCTTTTCCAAGCCACCCTATGATAATGCATCCCTAATACCCTTATTTGAAGCCTTTTATATTAATCCATTCTTTTTTTTTTATTTTAGCCACATTACAAACCCAAGAAGTCTATTCTTTGATTTTTATTATTCTTTCTTTTGTTGACCTAACCCATTGTGCTTACATTTGTATGGACATGTTATTGATTTTGGGAGAAAGGGAGGCACAAGGAATGAAATGAAAGAAAGAAAGAAAATGGCAAGCATGAAAGGCAAAGCCTAATAAAAGCCAAAAATGGCTAAGATAAAAAAAATACCTTAAAAACAAAAAATTAAGTGATGCCTCACAAGTCAAAGTTGCCAAAAGAGCTCCCACTTATTCAAAGTCTAAGAAATTCAAAAAAAGTAAGCTTAGGGTTTTTAAGCCTAAAAATTCCCTTTTTCTTACCTTGACCCAAACTTTACATTACAACCTTGAAAAACCTGATCATGAGTTAAATATGTAGGTCTAACATTAGTGGAACGGGAGCATATCACTAACGAAAAATAGGTTTTTAGTGGCCTTTTTTTTTTTTCATATTTAGCAACATTTATAAATGCCGCTAAATGTGGTGTTTGCTAAAAACATCATTGAGAGTGTTGACTATGCTTGCGTAAGGAAAACTAGTAGCATTTAAGGAAAAAATGCCATTAACTTAATGGCGTTTATGTCAAAAAAATGCTTTACACACAAACATTGCTAAATTATAGAAATTAGTTATGTTTGTGCCAGAAAACAACATTAAATCTAGTGGCATTTTTGGACACAAATGCCGCTAATTTTGTAATTTAGTGGTATTTTTCACTACAAACACCAATAAATTTAGCGATATTTTTTTGATACAAATGCTTCTAATTAAAAAATTTAATGGTGTTTTTCATTACAAAAGCTGCTATAAATTAAAAAAATTACTTTTTTTATTTTTTCTAAATTTACTACTATAATTAAATAAAAATTTATTGAAAGAAATAAAAACGAATTTAAATTTATAAACAGGATATTACAAATATTTAAATATCTAAGTACAAACACCATTTTTTTCATTTTTAGACATAGTAATAACTACACTTAAAGAATATTTGGTATGAGAAAGCAAAGAACATTATTATTAAATCAACAATCATGCATTGTACAAGCCTTTCACATTAACAAGTGTGTAGAAATGAACAAGAACAAATAAATTTGCCATTGATGAGTTACAAGTAATCTTACAAGCCATGAGAGGCAACGTACTACAAAAGAAAGAGAGCTTCTTAATACATTGTTAAGTTTTTAGGAAGAGCAATAACCACTCTTTTGAGCACTAGGTTGCCCTTGGATCTATACTATCAAAGGCTGTACATTGTTCATGGCCAGTTAGCTTGCCATTCAGCAATAAGAGGCAATTTTAAGGAGTGAGCAAAACACGTAAAAAGTAATTTTCAATCAATAAGAACTAAAACTTTTGACATAAATATCATAGCAAATGGTTCATTGATCCACAAGTTTTTTCTTATAGATTGAATAATAAACCCTGACAGTCGAGAAACTAGTGCAAAAGATTCCATAACTGTATGGAAAAATATTGCTTAAGCAATTTTTTGCTTATCCAAAGATTTTATGCTTATCAAAGATTTGAAGCAATTTTATACTTAACAAGCCTAATGAAACTGAATTTCCCATTTGAAAAAAAATGATAGAATACATAATAGCTTAATGAAGAAGATGTACACAAATCATCATAAGCATGCCTTTTAAAGCGTAAATTAACTACTTAAGCCATAAAAAAAAATTATTTAAACCCTAAAGATAGAAAGCATTTAGTATAAAAACATACCCATGGCTTTTGAATTTTGTGGGTTGAGAACTCCATTCGTGGTATCAACCCTCATATTTTTGACCCCTTTCTATAAATATTGGACATACTCTATCACCTACAAAAGAATATTGTTCCCATCAAGAAATTTTTAAAGCATAATTTTTTTCAAAAGGTAAATAGTTAGATAAATAATATGGTATGACATTTTTCATTTCCAGATTCATGGCATACCTCTAGCGAGAATCATGACATTCCTCTGGCAGGAATGAAGCTATATCTCTATTTTAATTAGTGTTTGGTATTAGATCTTTCAATATTTGAAATCTAAATGAATCAACAAACTAGTTAGTATTACCATTCATAAAGTTAAGCAAGTATCATCAATTTGCAACTGCTATTTGATAATTTCATTTTTTATAAAATTATCATAGGTCCATTTAAGATGTCATCACATAGGCTACAAAAAAAGGGAAATACAACTAGCATAACAGCTCAAAGTTAATACCTGTTGCAACTAAGAAAAAGATGCTGGCAGTGTGCACATGGGTTCCAAAGTTTTTGATGTAATAAGTAAGCTCTTCCAAGAAAATGCACATGAGACAAAAAAAAGAAAAAGAAAGGAAAAAGCCAGCTACTTACGCATAAAAAGTCCCCATACGTTACAAATTTTCTTGCTTAAATTTTGGATGAAGAAGACTTGCACCAAGTTGAACTAAAAATGTTGCCAACTTTGTCAAGATTTGCTATCAACTAGTGTTTGGTCAATTTAGACAGCTCAAAATGCAACATTTGAAGACTTTAGAAGGATGACAACTCACCTTAAATGGGAAGCCAATAATACACCTCATTTGATTGGCAAAACAAGCCTGACATGAGGGAGGAAGCTAGCTGGAAATTTCAACTAGTGCAAAATTGATTATGGGCGGCTATCTATCTTCCAAATATCCTTGAGCTGACTTGGCATTTTTGAAGGTTGAGATTGTATCATGTAAAGCTTGGATCAAACATTAAAAAAGCTTTCATTCAGCTATAGAAGAGTCCCTCTTCATACATGCCTCAACATTTTTTTTCTTGGCTAGAACTCCAGGTGTTGCGGCTCCATAGCTACTATGTTCTTGGCTATTTAGTCTTTGTTCTTTGTTTTTCCTTTTTTTTTTTAATTTATTTAAGTTTCTTTTACATTCCTTTACTTGTTATTTAGCTCTACTTTGGTTCCTTTAAGCAAACATTTTCCATTTAAGCTTGCAATTTCAATTTGTATTCGACACAGTTTTTAAGTTTCTAGGTTTGATGTTTGCTATTGTTTAATTAATTTTCAAGTTGATTTTATTTTCAACAAATCATGAGCATTTTATATACTGTTCCTCCACTTGTTAGCTTGATTTACAATGCTTTCTCTTGATCAAGTAGTTCTAATTGAGCTAACAAATTTAACTTTCTTTAAAAGCTATTTCCAAAATGCTATTCTATTTTTAGATTTTATTTTGTTTCGGTTTTTGTTACTTTTCAATTTCAATTCTGTTTCAATTTGTATCAATCTTTTTTTTGCTTGTTGAACTATGAGCTATCTAAGCTTCTATAAAATTTGACAGTAAAATTGCATATTTTGAGCTAGATCTAAGATTTAGTAGGAGCTATTTCATTTTCCAAGCTGATATTCCAGATTTTGTTTCACTACGATTTTGGTCAAATTTTAAGTACTAAATGATGTCCAATGCTTTTGAAAATTTATGTGCATGTTTACATATTAGTTAGTTACTTCCACAAAAAATTTGGAGATCAAATACTATCAAATGAGAATGGAAACTTAATTTTAATCAGATGTTGTCCAGAACCTATTTCCAGATTTTAATGTTTGCTTTAGGTTGTTGTTTCTTTGACTTTTCATGGTTATTTGGGGGTTGATAAGGTTACTTCTGGGTTGAGCATTCACCCAAGAGGCATTTTGTTATTTGAATCAAGTGTTTTAAGTTTTTGTTTAATTTATTTTCATGTGATTGCTTTACTACCCTATTAATTTTTTGTTTTAGTTTGCTTGTTCATTTCTTTGAGTTTGCTTCTGAATCATTGATTTTGTCATTTTCAGCTATGTATATTTGGATCATGAGATCAGAAAACTTATCTCAAGTTCCTATTTGGTAAAGGTCATAATTTCATAATTAGAAAGGAAGTCATACCATTGATGAAGATATCATCCCGCCCTATTGAAGAAAGCAACAACTGTTGCTCGGGAATATGATATATTGAAATTAAAACTTTATTAGTCATTTCAAACTTTAATAATAAGACAATTGCATTAAATTATTGTGAGTATTAGGTCATGAAAACAACTTATACATTCACTTCTTTAAAATGATAGCCTAACTTTACCAGTTCTGAGAATAGGCCAAAGTGCTAGGAAAATATTACTATAGCAAGCCTAACCTGCTCTTCAGCAAACAAATAATATCTCCCATTGATGGAGTTTTCTTGGATACTAACATCTTTCTAGGTGCATTACCATCCTATTGAATCCATCTTCCCTTTCTTTCAAGATTGGTTGTGTTATACTGTCGACTTGATTTGGAATACTTTCTTCAAGGAATATTCTCATGTACACTACTACAAACATTGTTACAAATGCAGCAACCTGAAAAGGTAAAAAGAAAAACTTGTAGCAAAAATTTTGAAATGAAACAATTAGCAAGGTATAGTCCAGAGGTTTTAGAAAAGCTTAGGGAAAAACCTAAAATGTGGAAGTGGGGAGGAAACGAGCCACAAGGTTACATAATCAAGTGCACCTGAGCTTATGCCTAAAAGAATTCTAAATGCAAATGCATAACAGCCTTGCAATATCAAGTACAAAAAGAAATATAGGAGAGGATCTAAATGAGTTCAATCAAATCTATTAAGATTGGATTTCAAAGCTCACATAAAAGCCAAAGACTTCGATGATCAGGTCCTTATTCATGAGTCATGACTGCAACAAAGTTTCACATTTAAGTAGTGACAAATTATGTAACAATATCATTAATAACAAAACTTTATATAAAAAGAAAAGAGGGGACTTTTTTCTTATGATTTTAGAATCATTTGTGCTTGCTTTTGCTCCACTGGCGAGATGATACATTTTCCTTTTGAGGTTGAAGGTATTCAAAGAAACCCCTCGTTAATGCAAAATTTAAAAGCCAACAAGTTCATAGACAAGGAACAATATGATATCAATACGACAATAAGAGCATGTGTAATGATATTTTGTCATACTATTGAACACTTTATAACATTTATTTCTTTTGAATATAATTGAATAATCAAACTATCAAACATTGTAGCTTTATATGGCATAATTGCACATTTGCTCCATCATCTCAAATATATGCATGATGATAATGTTGGAGTTGAACATGACACTTGAGGTCGGGTAATGGTATATTGAAATTGAAATGAGTCTTGGAATGCAATTTTGTGATGAGAAAGATGGTTACCAAAGTTTCCATTTGCTTGTCAATTGTAATTGGAGTCTGAAACTTTATGTTCGTAACACTAGCACTAATAGTCAAAATCCAAGGAGCCCTATTATGAATGGAATAGAATTCCAGCCTAAAATTTCCCCCAGAACAGCTTGTCAAGATAACTTTCTTCATGGCATGAAATGCCCGGTTACTGTCATGTCTTGTAAGTAATCTCCATAGTTCCCACCAATGGACAATGACAATAAGTCAACCCCAAACAATAGATTTAAACAGTAGTAAATGAGAGGAATTTTGTGAGAGTGATTTGTCAAAACATTGCTTAGGTATCCAGCATATTCTATAGGAAATAAAGTCAACTTTAATGTATCAAATTAGATGTGAATTCATTACAGAAGAAAATGAAAAAAAGCATCTTGTATAAATAATCTAACCTTGAATCAATAAATTTATGTCTATGTATATCCAATATCAACTTCAACTTCACATCACTACCCTTCAAATCCTGGACCTGTAATTAAAAAAAAAATATGTAGATTAGTAGATTTTCCTTTTTTTTTTTTGAAAAAAAAAAGTATACAGGTTGATATAAGCATATTTTACTAGTAAATGTAGGCATATTTCCCTTTAATTTGAGCAAGCATCAATTTCCTATCACAAGTTTCTTGAAGACATGTTTAATGAAAATAACAGAGCAATATTAATCAATCATACCATGGCTTGCAACTTATGCATCTCAGCAGCATGGTCAATAGATCTGACAAATAAATTCTCACACTCTTTTACATGTTCATAAATAACTATTTACAAATTCTTTGCAAGTCCATATAGAAAAAATGATCTCTAAGCCTTTAAAGCAAAACCAAAAATAACCACACTACTTATAAAGTAATAACCTTTCTATGAAAAATATTGGAAAAGATCACACATCAACCGAAATAGAATGAATATCCATTGCAACCTCTTTGTACTTACCTAATTGACTCTGCATTAAACTCATTTCCTAAGGAAATGAAGAAAGCAAGTTTTTAAATTTTACAATGTATAATTCCCTTTATTATATGTATAAATTTTACAATTGGATATGAATCAAGTTGTAATAAATCCCTTTACTACACTTGGATACAAATCATGCTTCAATTGGTTATAAATCAAGCTATAATTTATACCGTAATTCCTTTTATTGTAATCCATTACTGGTGTAAACATCCAATGAGAAGCTCTAGAATCAGCAACATCCAATGATCTCCGAAATACATCAGCTATATCATTTTTATACTCAACTCCTTTATTACATTTGGGCATATTTACTGTGAAAATATTTATAATTCAACAATTAGTGCCAAGTCCACCAGTTTTAGCATATAATAAAAAGCTAGATACAAAATTTTACACTTTTTGATTTTGTACTATTGTTTTAATTCGAGATAGAGAACTATTTATAATTCAATAATCTACTCTAAATGCTTGAACTAAAACACCAAACTTGCAAACATTGGCCAAGTCCACCATTTTTAGCATACAATAGAAAACTAGACAAAGAAATTAATGACATAAGAGGAACAAAGACAAAGATAGACAAGGATTTTCTAAATACTTCCACACTTGGATAACGCAACTTCTCATGGGATTGAAAATAATATTAACCCTAAAAATTAAAATTAAAAATTACAAAAATTTGAAAATAAGCACAAAATAAATGTTCTATTACTAACCTTAAACCAGTGTTGTAGATGGATGGAAAAGGGAGATGAATGTCATTAATGGAACGATAGTGGCAAGTGAACGGTAAAGTTCTTGAGGGTTTAGTTTAAGGTGGGATTCGAAACAAATTGGAAAAGGAAAAGGAATCAGATCGAAAAAAAAGACAACACATTGGAAATGGCATGAAAAGAAAAAGAATCGAAAGCAAAAGTAAAACAAATGACCTAAGTTTGCAGAGAAGCAAGAAGCCTAGGAAACCAAAGGAAATCGAGTGCAAAGAAGAAAAGGAAACCTGGGTTTCATTTTAGGTCAAAATAAAGAATGAAGCAAATGGCCTAGGTTTGTAAAGAAGAAAAAAACATGGGAAAGGAAAAGAGATCAAGCATAAAGAAGAAAAGGAAACCTGGGTTTTAGGGAAAAATTAATGGTGTTTATTTCTAAAATGCCACTAATTTCTACCAGCGTCTATTCGTTCAAACGCCATTAAATCTTTCTGAAATGCTATGCTTTATTAATTTTAGAATCCATTGTTGCAACATTTATTAGTTAAAATATCACTATATCTTTCAATTAAAGGCATTTTTCATAAAAATGCCACAAAAAAATTGAAAGAATAGTTTGTTTATATAATTATATTTATGAAGTCTATTCTATCTTTCAGTTGAAATGTAATGAAGTGTTTTATGTTTTGTTTACTTGCATTATATGCATGAATTAAAGATTGAGTAGATTTGTATGTATTAATAACATAAGGTATTGAAAGCTTGCTTTTGAAAAAAATTCTTGTGACTCTATGTTATTCTTATCTTTGTATTTTGCAATAGTGTATGATAAAAGTTTTGTATAATTTATGACTTTGAGGATATTTATAATATTATTTAATTTTGTTGATTTTAGGTTTTGCTTAAGGACAAGCAAAAGATTTAAGTGTAGGGGTATGATAGCACTTAAATATATAGAGTTTTTACATGTTAAAATTGCTGCTAAATTTAAAAATTTTTTATTGATTGTGGTACTTTTAATGTTATTTTCATAATTTTTGGGTTTAAGGCTTATGGAATTGATTTTCATGCAATCCATGCATGAAGATGCATATTTAGCCATGCAATGCAAGGTGGTAACCAAACCCTATAGCTTCCTTTCATCCATCCATGCAATAAAGCAAGTGCTTGAAGTGCATAAAGATTAATCGACCCCTATCACATTCGGCCATTTCAATTTCAAGAAGGGATAAGGCACATTTGATCAACTTTTGCAAGCATTGGGACTCCATCATGTTCAACCAAGAGAGAATTGTGATTAAAGAATGACTCTTTTACTTTGTCATGAAGAAATATGTCACACAAGGACTTTACTCATTCGACCATGTAAGGGAGATGATCAATTTGCAAGATCATGGACTCTACATGTACAATCATGTTCAGCCAAGGTACTCCAAGAGAGCTACTATGTACTTTTTCCACAATGAAAGCTAGGTGCATTTAACCAAGAGGAATTTGAAGTTCACCATGAAACTTGTGGCTTAACCTTAAATAATTTAACTTGGAGTAGGATTTTATCTATTTGAAATTCAAGACTTGGATAAAAATCATGTTCATCTTGAAATTCCAAGCCTTAGTCAAATCCTATAGAAGAGATTATTCAAGATTTGATCAAGATGCAAGTAAGGGCTAAGATTGAACCATCAAGAGACCATTCGATGAAGAACACTCAACCATGAAGAGTCCCATTCAGCTATAAAACTTTAGAGATCAAGATTAAGCTTATCCATTTGTATTTGAATTGGAAACAAACTCTTGTAAAGCATATCCCTCCTAGGCCAAACCCTACATTATAAATAGGGAGGCCATTCACTCATTTTCATCATCCCATCCTATTCATTCTTCCCTTTTCTTATTTCTTTAGTTCTTTAGAGTTATTAGCTTAGGTGACAAATTTGCCAATAACCTTGTTTTCTTTAAAATCTTTTAATCAAAGAAGTATTATTTTCAAGATCTTTCTTTTTCTTGTTTTCAAGTTGTAAATCTTGTTTTCCTTTCTTTATATTCAACAACCATTATTTTCTTTTCAAGATTGATCAAAGCTTTCTTTTATTTTTGTAAGATTTGGCCAACCTTTTTCTTTATTATTCTTCAAGTTATTTTTATACAATCTTTATTTCAAGACTTCAAGCATTCAACCTACTCTCAAGTTTCTTTACAATTTTAAGCTTTCAATTATTGTTTTCTTATATCTAGTTTTTAGCAATATTCTTTTACTCCCCAAGTGACGGTTGGTGAACTTAAGATCTCTGCCAATTCATAACCTTTAATCTTTACTTTCCCTATAACCAAACCCTAAATTCCCATTTGTTTAGATATAAGATCATAAGGTTTCACCTTTGGTAATTATAAACAGCCCAACATTACATTCTATAATCCTTAAGGAATCGATACAGAATACTTTTATTACTTGATTTACATACTTGTAGGATATTCAAAAAGTAGCAATCATATTCCTTAGTAAAAATGAAGAAGATGACATTTTCCTTTCTAATGGATTGAATAGTTTGATACATCAAGGTCTCAGTTCATTCAAGAAGGCTTTTCAATTTGAAGGGAACAAAAGAGATGTATACTTTTCCATTTAGGCTCACAAATGAAACATAATTTTTTTAAAAATGATGAATTTTTTAAAAACCAAACATGTTTGACACATTCTTTAGCCTCCAAATGTGGCATTTTGATAGATTTTGAAAGGTTATTTTGGATTGGAAACAAAGTTCAAATTTTCAAAATCAATTTTTTTAATGGATTTCAAACTTTAGGACATTGAGATCTTTGGATCTTTCAAATGGTTTATGTTACTTTATATTAACCTTTTTCACTTGGTTAGGCAATATCAAGATTGGCTTCAAAGTATTTAAGTTTGCTCTAGACTTGCCCTTTTTGGGTTTTCACCCTAGAACCTCTATTTTTTCCTTTCATCATTTTTTGCATTACTTAATTATTCCAACATGCACTTAATAATTCAAATTTCATCCAATATTGGGATGATGGTTCAAATAAGTATTTAGGCAATGAAAGGAGTCATAAGGCTCATGGGTTATATGGTGATTTGACAAGGAAAAGCTCTTTAGTTTAAGCATCATGCTTGAACAAAATGGACTTGTCAAAGCACATAATGTAGGCCAAGGTTTAGGGTTTTGAAAGAAAAAATAGAGGCCCAAAATATGTTTAACGGTGATAAAAAAATGATCATTACATATTGTATGAAAGGGTTATTTAGGACGTTTGTCCTTTCATTTCCACTTTTGCCATTCCATCTTTTTATTCCTTTCTCCATTTTGTTTTGTGGGTTTTTTTTTTCTTTTTCTCTTTGTTTTTCTTTTCCCTTTTTGTTTCCTTTTCTTTCTTTCACTTTTTTTGCACATATCTACTTTTGATTGAGTAAGTGCAAAAAATTTTGAAAACTCACTTTATATGTCCCTCGGCATATAAGGTTCCATCTTTATAATTGGAATAGGACTTCACCATACATGATTCTTGAACATGTCCCTCTCTTGCTCCTAATGTGGAGAGTGATCATTGGCTAAATTTCATTTAGAAATAATTCATCAGGCTTAAAAGAATAGCAACTAAATAATTTGAAGTTTTTAAAAAGATAATCAAAGATAGTCATTTGTCATTTCAAACATAGTCACTTAAATTGAAAAGTAATTCCTTTTAAGAAAATGGGTTAATAGAAAGACTTTTCAAATTTTCTTTTCTTGGATTTTTGGCTTTTCTTGACTCTTTTTTTTTCTTCTTTTCTTGATTTTTTTTCCATTTTTGGTGTTTTTGGTTTTTTCAATTTTTGAGTTTTTGTTTGGATTTATTCAAATTTCTCAAGTACATGAAGTCTTAATCAACTTTTTTCCTTTTTTTTTTGGTTTTATTTTGTTTACATTCCTCCACTTTGCCAAAAATGCAATTCATGAAAAATGCTTCATTTTAACATGTCACGCCTAATGAAGGTCAATATGATAAAAAAAAACCAAGTGGAATGAACTTGATTACATGTCAAATTGTTCATATCACTCCACAAATAAAAATGATTAGTCATAACTCAAATTGTTTTAGGGGTAATAAGTAATCTTACTTTTTTGGTCAATGTGCCCCAGGACATGAAGAAAGGATAACTTTAGGAAGTGAATTGAAGCATTGGTGTATTTGAGGTCATTTGAAGAGATTTGGGTGGTTTCTTGATGGATGAGCTCTTTTTTTTCTTCGACAAGTTTGAAGCATAATCTTGATACATAACCAAGTTACCAACATCTATGTTTTTTAAAAGAGTCCTTATTTACTTGATTTTCAAGAAATCCAAGAAAAAACCCAAAAAAAGAAATTAGTTGCTTTATTATTCATTGCCTAGGAAAAGATTACCATCCTTTTATATCTTGTCATGATCTAGTGTAGATGGAATTTAAACACAAGCCCTCTTGAAACATTAAGGCTTATAGTGGTTTTTATTCGAATGGTTTGAAACATAGAAGTGTTTGGAGAAAAAATGTAAGGGTATTTATTAGGATAAGTTAATTCCTACTAGTAATCACCAATTCTTTCAAGACTCTTTTTACCTTTTGTTGTGAGCCAAAATTTCTCTTTTTTATTTTTTAAAAAAATGATTTATTTCACGTTATGTGAGAATTTATTCAAATCTAAAAAAATTTCCTATTCATTCTCTTTTTCCCAAAAAATCTTAAGAACTTTGAGAAATTAAAAGCTTTAATCGACAATATTTACAAATTCATGAGACAATATAATGTGCAATGATTGAAACTTAATGTTCATTCACTCAATGTAAATATTCAAGCTAAACCAAAATTCACACATCAAAGAGTTCTAAACAAAGATTAAAAACTACCGCTCATCGGCATACTATCTTTAAAAGCCAGACATTGCTTATGATACAATGATTTTTCTTTGATCCAAACTCTATAAGCCCAACTTTGATAAAATCCCTAACATTGTGCTTTAGTGTGAGAAAATTTTCTATTGAAAGACCCTGATTACCATAATGATAATCACAAAGTGCATTAGCATCATACCATCACGAGTAAGAAGGTTTAAGGGAATCTGGTGCATAGGCTCTAGAAGGTTCTTTTGAATAAGATAGGGTAACAATTGGTGTTAGACAAGAGAACTGAGTCCACCTAGTTTTTTCATTTGTTGACTTATGGCCAGCTTTGATCTTTCTTAAAGGTAGTTGGCTAATTAACATGTTGGGGCATAACCATAATTGCAAATGCAAAAATAATGGCAAGTACTGGAGGTCAAAAAATCGTTAGCTGTACAAGTCATGGAGCTAGATGATAAGCATAATAGTTGAGATTTGAACCAATTTGTGATGATGCTATAAGATCTAGATACCCTATCTAGAACATTTTAGTGATAACTTTATAAAATAGAGTTATTTTTAATACTTAAATGAGTTATTTTTGCTTCGTTCTTAGCTAAATAATGTTTTTTTTTTA